TAAAATATCAGCTGTTTTCAAGGGATGCTCTGGGAATCTTGTAGATCCTAAAATCCTTTCAGAGGGTCTGTAAGGTTAAAATGATTTTTAATAACAATATTCAGAAGTTTCTTGCCTTTTTCATATTTATTTGCTCACAAGTATACAGTAGTGCTTTCCAGAGACCACGCTCTATCCAATATTGCAACAAACTGCATGCAGAAACTGCTATGAGAATATAGCTGCATTCTCTGATGCCAGACAACAGAGGGATGTGCAAACGCACCAAATAATGCCACTCATTTCACTTAATTGCTTGGCCTGGGAAATAGTTCTTTCATTTAAGAATGTAATTTAAGTTGGCATATAATGAATTTACTACTTTTATTTTTAAAGGAATTAAGTATTTCTTAAGCTTTTTTTGAATACAGTAAATAGTGATAGATATAACTCACATAAATAAGTTTTAGAACCATGTCTTAGATTGATTATGTAACAGGAGGAAAAAATAAAAAAGACTAACCTGAACAAGGACAAAGTAACGTTTTTTCCATCTTTTCCAAACCTTCTGTCCAAGGGCATACAGATATCTGGTATGAAAAACAAACAAGAAAAAGAACATTTCACATGAATAATGTTGTGGTTCCTTGTAATCACATTTCTTCCATAGGTGTTTATCCTTGAGAGCAGCCAGCTAAAGGCTGTTTTCATTTGGAATCTGAGACAACACGCAGATACTGTGTTACAAAATGACTGAGCTTGTTCTAGGTTCTTGAAAGGAAATTGATTTATGTGGCTTATCAATTTGTCAGTCCTTACCACAAATTGAGCGAAGTAGGAGTTAGAAAGGATAATCAAAGAACCAGTTGGAATTTTATTCTTGCACATACTTCTTAGGAGAGACAAAGGCTGCAAACTGAGGACATGGTACTAAAAGCTTCAGATCTCAAATGACCAGACCTGGATAGTGCAGCCAGGGAAGGAGCTAGCTATAGAGTCAAGAACCCAGGGTGAAAGGTCACTGTCTAGCTGGGTGACCCTGAGATGTGCCTATACTGATGTGTTTCCATTTCTTCATGTATCAAACCACAGGCCTGGATCTCCTGATTTCCAACATTTGTCAGTTCTATCATCTTAGGATTTCCCTGACTTAATGGAAGTATCTCATTTCACTTTTTTTTTAATATGAAATTCAGATTAATTGTAATCTTCATCATCTTCATTGGAAGATGATGTTGTATAGTTTAGTATCATTTCACCCATGGCTTTTAACTGTCAGCTGTTATGTAATGATTAATGTAGTCAATCATTTGAGACTAAATTTTGGTTCTGAATGAATATATAGAGATATGCCGAGGTATCCAGGAAGGTAAAAGAAGAGATTAAAATGTAACCCAGGGTGAGCTCATCAAGGAAATAACTATTTTAAAATTATGTCATGAAACCACATACACATCCCTCCTACAAAAGCAAAAATAGAGACTTGATTTTAAAATTAAAGAAATATGGTAAAAAAAAAAAAAGAGTATCATGGGGCTGGGGTATAGCTCAGTGGGGGAGCACTTGCTGAGCATGCCTGAAATGCTGGATTACATTCCATGGGCCAAAACTAAAACAAAACAACCAACACTGTGGCTAACTCAGTTTATTTAGGGGCTTAAAGTCTTCAGACCACCTCTCACAATTTTCATGGCTGAAATTTTAGCTTCTTATTTAAATAATCATCTTTTGCCACAAGCCAAGCATACTTCTTGTCCTCTTTGAATAGAGTAAAATGGAGTGGAACGTTGGCTAATGTGTGGTGAAATGAATAGACACTCTAACTTGCTACCAGTGGGGAGGGTAACATAAGACTATTTTCCTGTAGCACAGCACCACAATAAGAATAGTCCTACTGTTTTAGTTTTTGATAAAATTAATAACATAGTGAATATCTCATTATATAATATCTAAAAAGAACAGAATGCAATACTACACCATCCTTAGTGATCTGAAATTTTTAAGAAATATAGATGCAAAATGAATATTACAAAAATAGTAATAACAGTATCTGTGAGTAACATAATTATGGTAGATTTAAGTTTGCTGTATTTTCTAACTTATCAGAATCAGGGAAAAAAAATGAGTTACTAAAAATCAAAACAGAAACAATTGGGTTGTTGCATTGCAAACATCATCTAAATTGCTCAAATCAATTACACATTTTCTTTTACCCACATAAGCTAGCTGAAGCATCTGGTGAGCTTCTTTCTGCCACTCATGTTACCCTTCATAGCATTGTTTGTGCTTTTAGATGTCATGTGAATTCATTTAATGACTGGTAGAAATATCTACTCCTCTTCTCACCTGCTTCACTGTTTCTTCTCAAGGTCCCCTTAAAACCCTTTGCATACCTTTACTCTAGCCTCTAATTTCTCTTCTCTGGTTCTAGTGATAGGTGTTCAGCTGTTCTCTTTCTGTCTTTTTCCTACATAATTTCCCTCTCTTGAAATGCACACACCTAAGTTCCTATTACGGGGTTAACAGCAATGACCTCAGGAACTAGATGCTGTGGAGATGACAGCTGTCCTCTATAAAAGCATACCAACAAGATGTGTGCCCAGTAGCTGCCCAGCAGCCACAGAGGGCTTCTGAAAGAACCTTTGCCTGTGACCACAGTCTGCTTCTCAGCTTTTTTCAAGTGTCTCACTTGGCAGACTGCTGGGTAACCAGTTCATACACAAGTGAATGTGAATAGTGACACAAACCATCAACACCACAAGCAAGTTAATGTGAGTTTATTGACAGGGAAGATCCTGCGTGAAGAATACCAGTCATCAGCAACATCATTCAAAACCATGGATTAATAAATTTGGAATGTATGGTTTCTTTGAAGACAGAAAGCATAGGGGTTGGTGGACACATACACATTGTATTTGGGAATGTTGTATTTGTATCATAGGAACATGTTATGACAAACAGAGCAAGAAGGAATTGGGGATGAGAACCAAGGTATACATGTGGGTTCTCTAAAGCAGTTTAGGCTGTTGCATTTTAAGGAAAAATTCAGCTGAACATGTACAAAAGTGACAAAGGATCAAACATATCCAGAAACTAATTTGTTATATAAATTTTGCCAGCTCCCAATGCAAGAAAATAATAACATTTAACAAAAGATTACCTGCAAAATAATGTTATAAATATTATACAGGAAATAATATAATGTTTTTTCTTCTTAATGTTTTCATATTAGATAAAATTCTAGTGCAAAAAATGAACCTGGATGAAATACAACAGCAAAATAACCATACTAAGTAAGAATATATTAAATTTCTCTTCAACACATTTAATTTTTTCACCATAAGCATGAATTCTTGGATCAGATACCAAGTCCCATTGTCTACATGCTTTTTCATGAGTATGAAAGCAGATTCTTGGCCTAAGGGACATATTTAAAAACTAGAGAGGAAAGAAGAGGAAGAAAAAAAAGAGTTCACCAATATTGGTGAAGAGTAAAAACCCTAAAAGCAATCTAAGGATCAAATGATTAGATTGTCATTAAAAGTGATGAAAAAAATTACTTATGTACAGAAAATTCTTACTAAATAAAACAAGCAGCCATACAAGCTCATATTTTATTCATGGGAAAAATCCAGAAAATTCAATGACAAGTTAAACCTATAGTCAATATCTGGCAAGCTTAAAGATGGATTTTATATCCTTCTTTATGGCTTTTTTGCCTTTTAAAAATGTGTATACTGACTAAGTCTTTCTTCCTCTGTGTTCTGTAAGGATTATTAGCAGTTTACATAAAGTAAAATTTACCTGCTTTGGGTGTACAATTTGACAAATGTTTCAACAGTCATGTAACCATGACCAATTTCTTATGGAACATTCCTATCTCCTCCAAGTTCCCTCATCCTCTTTATGGTTAATCCCTTCCTCACAATCCCAGCTTTGGCAACTACTGATTTGATTCCTGACTTTGTTTTTCATTTCCAAAATACCATATAGTTGGAATTTTACAGTACATATATTTATTTGAATGAATTCACCTCAATGTGTTTATCCATTCACCAGCTGGTGGACATTTGAATTGTTTCCACACATCTGGATATCAAAATTGAAGCTACTATAAACATTTGTGTCTTGGTGTCAGCAAATGTTTTCATTTCTATTGGACAAGTATCCAGGAGGATTGTTGTATCATATGGAAAGTGTATGATGGATTTTACAAGAAACTGCCGAACTATTTTCTAGAGTGACTGTACCACTTTGTACTACAACTAGCAATATGAGAGGACATCTTACCTTCTTAATCAGAAAAAATTTATTATTATTTGACATTATGACTCTAAATATTTCTGATGTGACTAAGGTAAAATCTAGAGACAAGATCCTTTTCTTTTTGTCTTGAGGACAGTGGAGAGCTCTATAGGCTTTCATGGTGAAATAGGCTTCCAGCTTTCAAAGCTATCCTCACATTGTGGAATTTGGAGCAGTCTAAATTCTGTAGACAAATGGGTGTTATTATCATTTGGGAGGGTTAGAGTGAGAGTGAGTGAGGAAAAAGAGTCAAAATCATTTGAATATTTGGTAATCATTAGGTAATCAGTTTATTATATAACACCTGTAAAAATCAAAATGTATCCTCTCCTAACCCATCTTTATGCCTAGCATCACTACTGAATCACTGTTTTTTTTTTTTAAATGTTCAGTGCTACATTATAAATTATTTCTTTTATGGTATCTAATAGGTTTTTGAAATTTCAGGAAAACATGCAAAAGTTACATTTATCTTGACATTATAATTTACCAGACAATAAATGCTGTTCCTTACGCTTACTAAAAAGTGAGTTATTCTATATAGACTGTATTTATATCTATAACTAATATTTAGAGAATTTGTGCATAATAAGTTGAATTGACTTCAAACAATCATAAATATAATTTGATCTTTCTTTTATGATTTAGAAAGACCCTATAGTAATCTCAGAGTCATTATAACAAACATCAATTTTAACTGAATACTGTGGGGGAAAAAATGCAGCTGATAGGACTAAATCCACCTACCTGATATATGATGGAAATAGCACTAATTAAGCAGATCCTTTATGGCTATTTATTTGTCATTTACTTTGTGTTTCATGAAAATAGTCCAATATTTTTTAAAGCCTAGTTTTCAAATATTTTTGTCCTCCACGTTTAGGACAAATTAGTATCTTAGTGCTTTATGAAATAAAAATCTACCAGGGGCTGAAGTTATAGCTCAGCGGTAGAGTGCTTGCCTTGTACATGTAAGGCACTGTGTTTGATTCCCAGCACCACAAATAAATAATCAAAATAAAATAAAGGACCATCAATAACTAAAATAAATACTTTAAAAAAAGAATCTACCAGGTAAAGATGTGGGAGAACATCATCCAAGAAAAGTGTTTCCAGGCCTACAAGGGGACAGAACCTTGGCTGGTGGGTCTGCTTTTCCTCAACATTTTGTCATCTGCTGGGTCATTACTATATGATTGATTCATATCAAAATGTCTTTTTTAAGAATATGTAAATCAGACCTGCCAAAATATCTGCAAAGTGGGTACACACGCTTAACTGGGAT